ATCCGTTGACTGTACCAGCTGCTGTGCACAGTCACCAGCTGATTTTGCTTCCGTAGCCGATTTATTACTGAGTTCTTCAACTTTCTTCGATGTAGCCAGTGCTGATGACGATGCTTCCTGTGAAGCACCGACAGTGACCATCATCTCGTCGCATCGTGCTTCATATCTTCGCCGATTCCATTCAGACGTTTTGCATTGTGTGCTTCCAAATTTTTATGTAAGTCTTTCATTTGATCCATTAATGTTTTTATCGACTGTTGATACTGTTGACGATTTTCATCGGTTAGCGCTGTGCGACAAGTTTTAAAGTCCTTATTGATTTTCACGCAGGCTGCATCGATGGATGTTTGAAATTTCTTTGTTGCACGGTTAGTTTCTTCACGTAAACTATTGAGATCAAATGTGAGACCTGTTACCTCTTTATTTAACACGGTACGCACTTCATCATTATCAACAAATATTTTTTTATCCTTAACTATTTGTGCTGTGGTCATGGCCATACATTGTGAAATACCATCCGTATTTGGTATAGAAGATGACAATGAAGTAGTTTCCAGTAGTGTTTTGACACCATCGACTAATGTTTGATCTAATTTCTTTGCTTTATCAAGTTGTGCGGCAGCGGCTTTCTCAAGTTTACGACTGTTGACAATGGCATCGATAACTCTCGTATCGTCATCGAGAAACGGATCTAAGAAGACGTAACCGAAGGCCACCACTGAAAAGAGTATCATCAAGACTATCATCATAATCAGAATTCATTTTTGTTATCACGTTGATCTTTAATAATATTTAATTCGTTCAAACATTCTTGTGGTGAACCTACAAAATATAGAACAGTACAAATCCACTTTTCTACGTATTCATCTTTCCGCTTACCAACACCAAAAAAAATTGTACAAGTTGATTTTTCGTCATTCACTTTGACTAAAACATTCGAACCTAATTTTATTTTCCCTTGTTTAAGTTAATTAAATCATCGTAATTGACAATCGATAGTTTCTTATCCAATATTAACTCAACTAATGCAAATTTTTCATCATTTTCTTTAGTTTGACCTTTTTCACATAAGAACGCACTTTGTTGTCGAGTCATTGGTCTAGTTTTTGTTGTATTTTGACCTCCTACTTGAGGATTACCACCACCAGGTTGTACTGTCTTTTTTCCACGATACATCATCCCCTGACGTTCAATCTAGAAATGAAAAGCAGAAAAGTTTTATTATAATTAGAGCAACAGATGAAGAGCAGACAGATATTCCTATAGATATGGAGCTTCCAGGGTGAGGTACGAAAGACCATATACAATATTCCGGTTATAACCTTGATAGACTTTTTTACAAAGCGGTTATATATATATATATATATCATTGAACCTTTCTACATCTTAAACAAGATGGCTTCTACTTCAGTATAAAAGATTAACTCTACACTCTTTTCGTATAACAGTGGTTAAATCGGAAAAGAATAAAGTGATAGTGTCTATATGCCTATCGCTTTTTCAGTCTACTTTAATACAATACAATCATTTCTTTTTCTTTTCAATACTGTCTTCTTGTATAGTACGTCCATGAATGTTGAATGTATTGTTCTCTATGAAACGAGCAACAATAACCCGTTTAGAAATTAGCCGAGATCCACGTAATTATTTTTTGGGATAATTTTAATTCCTCCCTTCTTGTGAGCAAAATGTCATTCATAACTCCAGAGCGATGTGTTGAGCGTAATATTTTTGAGACTTCTCGTTTATCCCATTGTGACGATTCTTTGTCACAACCTCTTCTTCCAGTATGTACATCTGTCGGTAAGGCTACTCTCTTCTGTTTCGTTCTCTCCCTTATCTGTTTTTGTTCTTACCTGGCTTTGTTCTTTTGTCGTTCTTATCTTTTATACATGCAGTAGTAAATATATATACTACTATCGATACGGAAAGGTCGTGCCGGTTGCCGTTTTTTAAATAACTTTTTAACGAAAGGTCTTAGCGGCCTGCAGTTTTCACCATCGTATAGATGACACTTAAAGCCATATTTTTATAAGCAAAAGCAAGTTTCAAAAAAATTTCACAGCCTGGTTTTTCAGGAGATCTTTGAAAAACCAGGTCAGAGTTTCCGAAAATCTTATAGAAACCCGATCGTTTTCTTGCATGGGTATGTAGCCTAGAGTGTCCTCTACAAAATGGGAGTCAAGCCAGGGCTTCATCCTTCAAGGTTCCGGAGATACAGACGTTTCCCGAGGACATACC